AACGAAAGCAAGCCGCTCCTCCGTGATCTGGGCGAGCTGCGCACGCTGTTTAGACCTAACACGCCGCTTTGGACGCATTTCTCCACCAGCGAGGGCAACTTCGGGCCGCTACCAAAGGATGCTACATTCTCCCAGGCCGTGACGGTGCAAGATGCCACGACATATGTCGGCGGTGTGCCCGATGACCCATATACCGAGCAATACTCGGACTACTTCACCAAGTACACACTATCAGAGTCCTGGCGCAACCACGACGTCCACGGACAATTCAGCGACGGCTCTACCAGTGCTGATGGGAGCACGTTCGGCGCGTGGCTGGTTCACAACACGATGGAGACATACTATGGAGGCCCGCTTCACTCGGACTTGGTTGTTGACGGAATTGTGTACAATTACATGGTGTCGGGTCACCACGGCGCGCCGATGCCGAACATCACTCACGGGTTCGATCGTACCTGGGGGCCGCAGTTTTATTATTTCAACAAAGGCGCCCCGGAGACGACAGTGGCCGAGTTGAGAGCTGATGCGGTTCAGTTTGCGGACGCAGAGTGGAACGAGGCGTTTTACGACAGTATTGCGGAGTATGTTCCTAACTTCACTCCGTCGACGCAGCGGACTGTGTTTGAGGGCACTGTACAGCTTCCAGAGGGTGCGAAGCGACCAATTATTGTGTTGTCGGAGAATAAGCAGGACTTCCAGCTCAATGTTTTCAACACAAAGTCTCTTCAATACTGGGCTGAGATCGACGAGAGCGGAAATTTCAGAGTACCCCGCCTTGCTGAAGGAACCTACAGAGTCACCGTCTACGCGGACGGTGTGTTTGGATGGTACATCCAAGACGACGTCGAAATAACCAAAGACACTGCGACGACCAAGCCTACATTCGAATGGAAAGAGGAGAGTGCGGGCGAGGAAGTCTGGCGAATCGGCGTCCCCGACAAGTCTTCGGGAGAATACCTCCACGGATACGCCCCGGACACCTCCAAGCCTCTTCAACCAGAACAATACCGCATTTACTGGGGCAAGTATGATTACGAGAAAGATTTCCCCGAGGGCGTCAACTTCCAAGTTGGCCAGAGCGACGAGGCACAGGACCTGAATTACATCCACTGGGCATTCTTCCCCGCCAAAGGTAACCACCTCCGGGAGGAGAACTACTACGACAACGTGAACAACTGGACCATCACCTTTGACCTCACCAAAGACAAGCTCGACGCCGCCAAAACGGCAACTTTCACCGTGCAGATTGCCGGGACCAAGACGGCGAACGGGAATGCCAAGTGGACTGTGTCGGGCCATCCGTACAGCAACCTGCCGTGGACGGTGAACTTCAACGACCTGTATGAGTCAACGTGGGTCATCCCGTACTGGCGCAGCGGATCGTGTGGCGTGAGGAGTGCTGTCGCGTGCCAGAATATTGAGAATAAGTTCACTTTCTCTACGGAGGCGCTGAAAGAGGGGCGGAACGAGTTGACGTTGAGTCTGCCGTTCAATGCAAGCAGTGTAGAGACTGCGCTTCTGCCGGATGCGTTGTATGTTCAGTATGATGCGCTGAGGCTGGAGCTTGCTTAGACTTTAGCAGCCAGGATGTGAATGTTGAAAAGAAACCGTCGTGGGATCTCACGAATCGAATGATTTACTTCTACGTTATTGCTGAATTGTTTGCTTGCTTGCTTTTTATGGCCTGTTAAGTGAAGGCTAAATGCGGACACTTGTATCTGATGGGAGAAGTGTTCTTCCAAGGAGCATCTCATCGGGAGCTTAGACAGCAGGCCCGGGACACGAGCCAATCACCAGCTAGCGGTGAGGCTGATCGTCCGACTCCCGCCCCGGCATTTCTAGCGTTGCAGTCGGCACGGCAGTCGGGACGCACGCCGGTTGGCACGGTTGTTGCAACCCCTGACGCCGGAGGTAGAGGAGCGTTGAAGATGCTCCGAACGGGATGGGAGATGAAGCTGTGATGATGACCGTGAGGAAGTCACAAGGTCCTCGAGGACGACATATCCCCCGGGCCTTCGACCGAAGCTCTTTTCGTCCCTGCCCTCGCTGAGCATAAGATGGCCATCATCAATCGAATTGTCATGTTGATCCCTAGAGTAACAGATCCATCAAGACCTTACACGAAACCAACTGACCAAACCTCACAATGAATCCCTTCGCCATCTTTCTCACCCTCACAGCCATCTTCACCTCCACCCATGCCAAACCCACCATCCCCTCCACCCCCAGCCTCCCCACCCCTCGCTCCTCACCAGTCTACGAAGCCTACCTCTTCGTCTACTTCGTCCGCAACTCCATAGGCGGCGAAAACATCTTCCTCGCCGCCTCCTCCCCCGGCGACATCCTCACCTACACCCCCCTCAACGCCTCCTCCCCAATCCTCACCTCCTCCAAAGGCACCCTCGGCCTCCGCGACCCGTTCATCACCCGCGCCCCCACCGGCGACAAATTCTTCCTCCTGGCAACGGACCTCTCCATCGGGCGCGGCATGTCCTTCACCGACGCCCAGCGCGTGGGGAGCAGGCACATCGAGGTCTGGGAGTCGCCTGACCTGGTGCACTGGTCGGAGCAGCGGCATGTGCTGGTCGCGCCGCCCGAGGCAGGCAACGCGTGGGCGCCGGAGGCGTATTTTGACAAGGGGTCGGGGATGTGGTTCGTCTTCTGGGCGTCGAGCCTTTATGATGAGGATGATGTGGAGCATACGGGGAAGTCATATAATCGCATCCTCTACGCGACGACGAGCGACTTTGTGGAATTCAGCGAGGCGCGGATGTGGCAGGACGCCGGCGGTTCGCGGTATGATTCTACCGTTGTCGAGGTGGACGGGGTGTACCACCGCTTCACCAAGGACGACTCCGGCAACGCGACAGGGTGCCGGGACATAATCCACGAGAAGTCGAGTAATCTCTCCGCAGGCCTGGGAGGATGGGACGTCGTCGCGAGCTGTATTTCCACCACTGCGGGTGTGGGCGAGATCGAGGGCCCGGCGGTGGTGAAATCGAACCCGGGCGATGTGAATGGGGAGAAGTACTTTTTGTTCGTGGATGAGTTTACGGGGCGGAGGTATATCCCGCTTGTAACGGATGATATTGCGGATCCGGACTGGAAGCTGGCGGGGGAGGGATGGGTGATGCCCCCGAGTGCGAGGCATGGCGGGGTGATGCCGATTACGGCGGCGGAGCGGGAGGCGCTTTTGGAGGCGTATCCGCCTGGAGAGTGATGGTTTTGCTGCTTTGGCGCTTGGTCGTGTTGGTGTGAAATAAATTGTCGAACTTTCCTTCCTTGGTATTGTAATCCGTAGCTGTGTAACAAAAAACACTTTTTCTCTCCAAAATTTGCCTGCAGAGCCAATGTTCGGAGGCGCAGTCCATGAAATCGTCCTGATGGAGTCGAAGAAAATCAGGATTGACGACGTTGAAAGAATGTCAAGATGCTGTTCAACACAACAAAGACTTTCTTCACCGACGAGGCCAACAACACCACCAGAACACCCGCATACCCATCCAAACACAGGTTCTTTGTCCGCCAACCCAGTCTTCCACCTCGACCCGCAAGACCCTGAACAATGATATTCACCGCACAGGAGGAGGGCGATATATCTGCGCCGAAAACCTCCCCATTCCCTTGGCCTCATCACTTCATCCAGTCACCCTCCGCAATTCAACCCATCTCAAATCATCCCATCTCTTCAAATCCCCAAATCAGCCAACCCGCCGCCATGTGCTACAAAGTCCACACGCACACCCTCTCCTGCGACGTCCGGCCCATCATATCATCCACCAAAACACACTACGTCAACCCCTACGAGACACCGGCTTCCTGCGCCTGCCCGCTCCCGCGCTCCTCCTCCTCGCATGCCGGCCGCTGCCCCTCGCACGGCTGCTGCAGCCTCTCAAGCACCCTCCACCGCTGCCGCAGGTCGTGCCGCCGGCCGACGCATTATCACCGCTACGTCTGCGACCACCCGCCCCCTTCATCCTCTTCCTCATCGCGCCGTCATTCCTACAGCTACTCCCGCCCACCAACGCCCATCCCATCGCACAACCCCTGGCGCCGGCTGCCCACCTTCGACCGCGACGCGGACTTCCAGACCGCCGAGTCGGGGGACTTCAAATTCGCCATGTCGGAGCTGCTCGACATCGGCCGGATCCTCCTGCACGCGGAGGCGGAGCTCGAGAAGGGCCGGCAGCGGATCGAGAGGGAGCGGCGGCGGCACGCGGCGTCGCATGGCGGGGCGTGCGGGAAGGTGCTGGATGCGTGGGAGTGCGGGTGGACGCGGCGGATCGCGCTGATGGGCGCCGAGGCGGATGATTTGAAGCTGAGCACGGAGATTTTGGCGGATTGCTGGGTGAAGTATGTGGGTTTGCTGCGGAAGTATGAGAGGATGGGGCAGAGGAGGGTTAGTGGGATCCTCGAGGAGCCGGCGGCGACGGAGGAGAGAACGAGTAAGAGGCCGAGTGATCGGGGTAGTGAGCAGACGACGCGGTATCGAAGTGAGGATCGTCCAAGGACTCAGGGGCGTCACCGGAGTGAGGTGAGGTTTGCGAGCGGGGAATATCGTCATGGTGAGGATCGGATCCAAGTTGAGGAAGAGAGGCCTCGAAGGCATAGTCGGCGGGGAAGCTGGGGTGGCGAGGACCGTAGTCGCGATCGAGCGTGGGATCGTGAGAAGGAAAGCCGGCATGTCGCCCGTGACAATGTCGTGGATGATCGACGATCCCGTCCAAAGACATACGTCGTGGGAGATCGCCGAACCTACCGGGGGCCATCGAGAGATGAGCGACCGCGAAGCTGGTGGAGGCTGTGAGTTGAGTGGATGAAGTGAAACTCTCAGTCATAGCCGAGCGCGGGCGCCGGATGAAGAAATGGGTTTGATTAAATGGATATATCTAAGTCAGTGATATCTAATGCTTATGCTTTTGCCTCCATGCATGATCGATAACTCCGAGCTCGCTGTAATGCTAGGGATAGATAGGATGATTTCACCTCGAGGAGAGGCTTTAGTACACCAGCTTGAAGTCAACGTCCGACTTTCCAACCATGAGGGTATCCGGCAAGGGTAGTTGAGCGTAAAAGGGGTTCGGGCGGAAGGTGACTTCCTTGAGGTTCGGGAGCTTCTCCTTGCTTCCAAAAACGAGCTTCCGCAAGGCGTTCTGAATGCCGCTTTCATACTGTTTGCGGGCCTGGAATCCCAGCTTGTCAATTTCAACGTCGTGCCACAGCTCTGCCAGGTCGAGTATTTCTAAGGATTGCGGCAGGCTTCCCAAGACGTCGAACTTGTCCATCCTCTCCGGCTTGCCAAACAAGATGCCGATGTCGAGTTTGACGTTTCGCAGCGCCTTCATCTTGGGTAAGCAGGTGAGAGTGCCGTCTCCACCGACATGCTGGGAGAAGTTGGCGGCCAAGATGCCCTCAAATGAAAACGTCTCGAGGGTTTCGGCAACAAGACCCAGAGCCGTGTTGAGGTTATGCTCGCCGTCGGCAGCCTGGTCGGAAACGCCAGAAGGACTCATCTCGAGAAGCTTCAGATTGGGGCACAGAGCACAGATGGCGTGCCAGCCTGAACCCCACATGCTGCTGCGGACGAGCCGTACCTCTTCAACATGCTTCCAGCTGCCGTCATCGCCCCATCCGTCACCTGGCGGGAGGGCTGCTGGTCGGAAATGAGCAGATCCCAGCTCCACGGCCTTGAGATTGGGCAGCCTCAGTAGACATGGCAGCTCGCGGCGGGGCCAGAAAGTCGCCCCGGGAAAGTCGGGCATGGGCTCCAGCATGATACGGGTGAGTGAGTTGAGAACTCGGGGGCAGCCTTCGTCGGGTTCGATGTCCGGAGTAAGAATATCCTTGAGCTTCTGGTACTCGCCAGCGGCGAAGGGCATGCGCATGTGGAGGGTGCGCAAATTTGGCGTCGAGTAGAGAACGAGGGCAAAAACGATTTGAACGACTTCGAGATCCGTCTTGGCTTCCCGCATGAAGGCCTTGATGCGGTCCGGGAATCGGGACGACTCTTCCACTAAGTGGCGCCAATGGGTACGCTTGTACGGACATAGTACGTCGGTGGGATAGTGATCGCTGCCCAGACACGAGACGTATGAGAATATGCGCATGTTTGCGCCAAGCTCTGGCCGTTCTAGGAGAGTCTGCAATAGCGATTGAAGACGTGACCGGCCCCATAAGTAGACCGTCTGGTAAAGAGACGGGATGGCGAGATCCGACAAGCGGCGGCAGACGAAGGCGAGTCGGTACAGGGCGACGCGATTGCTCACGACGACTCCATCGGGATCGGTGTAGGCTGTGAAGGGGATGTCCAAGCCGTCAAGAGGTGGTGTCAAGTGTCCGACAATCTGGAGCAGAACCTCGTCGGGGAGGGAGAGCAACGTTTTCGAAGTCATGATGGGCGGGTGTCGGTGGTGAAAACTTGGGGTATCGTCGAAATGGGGCGAAGGCGGGCAGGTGAGATATTAGATCTTGATTAAGCGGTGTCGTATGCGAGAATGAGACAAGTCGAGCCCGGTGACACGTGAGATGAAAAGCCGTATGTACAGACTTTGAAGACGACGTGTGCCCAGGCGTGTCTCAGCCAAAATGGCGATTCGTGGGGTAGAGTGAGCGAGTGAAGAGCGAGGTGGTGACCTTATGTAAAGCGGCGGACTCGCTTGGCGCAGGTCCAGCGACAGCAAAGTCTGCAGATGGCCAGGTAGTTAAAGGGATGCAGGGTTGGACGCAGGAAGCTGGAAAGTGGGCAAGGGAAGAGAAGAGGAGGAGAAGATGAGACGGGCGCGTGGCGTAGCAAGATTCCCCCAGGTTTTGCCCCGTGGCTCTCCACTCTCTGCTTTCCGCACCCAGGCTCAGCAACAACGATGACCCCTTTGACGATCCGAATGCGGCGACAATTTGGCAGCGCTGCGGAAGGGGAAAGGGGGCCAGATTGCGGATTGCAGAATGCGCATGCGAGGAAGAATGTCGGGGTAAATATGGGTGAGTGTGGGTGGGATTTCTATTGTCCCGTCACGGTGTCCAATTGACGTGGAGCAGTCCCTTGATCCCGTCTTCTGCGAGCGTGCCGCCGAGTAATAGCGTAATACGTACTGCTGGAGTTTCCAATGTCGCCGTCACTTGGAAGAAGCGTCGGATTCATGAGAGACAATGTACCTGGCACATCTCAGCCCCAGCAGATAGCGCAGGCCGTTACCCTCGGCATTCCAGGCATACAGCCATGGCGATGCCGGCGTCGAGATGAGACTTTTTTTTTTCTCACGGTGCATTTGTTGCGGCATCGGGTTGCATTTTGGACTTGACGTTGCCGGAGGCGCTCCCGCTCTTCGGCTATCCAGGCTGGGCAGGCATCTCGACACCCTGTTTTGATGCCTGTGACCCTGGGTCTGGGCAGTGCGACGGCGAAGAAAGCATCCATGTGGTTGGTTCAGAGGGTTGCGACGCATGGCCCAGAGCTGATGTCTGCGAACGAGCCGATCGGGAGGTGGCACCCGAAAGGAAGAGTGCCTCCAGGGCTCTACCGGTCGGATGAATCAGAGTCGCATTCGAAGGAAGAGACGGCCGCCGAGGCACACTCATCTCGCACGCTTCAAGGCGGCGTGGCAGCAAGACGTAAAGAAGGGCCGCCAGTGTCGAGTCGAGGTGAGGGGGAGGGGCAGACAGAAAAGAAAAAAGGATAAAATAACGAACAAAGTGGGGGCGGACAGGGCTGGGTGTGAAGCGAACGATTGGCGGGAAGGCGCGCCAACATCGGCGGTCCCCTGCTCCTTTCCCCCCTTAGGTTGAAGGCATCCCTGCCTTACCCGGAAAACCAGGCCTTGCATCGTGACTGGCTGCCAGTTTCAACTTCCTGCCTTTTGAGCAAGTTTGGCCCACCGTTCGTAAACCAGTTGCAGGCGGTTGCAGTTGCAATGTTGGCGGGGAAAGGCGCATTCAAGCAATGCAGGAAGCAGTTATGGCAGTTGCAGGACGAGAAACTCGCAAGTCTGCATTCAGGTACAGCAGCGTTTTATTTACAGCGAGGGAGCCACTGAAGAACACCACCGGAAAAGATGTTCACTGCGAACACTGCGAACACAGAGAATGGCCGACAGGTATCGCTTGCACAGCAGAAACAGCTTGCAACCAATACCCAGCATTGGCCAAGCTTATTATGGGAAATGATCCAATTTATCACGCAATGGCAGTCCGGATCGACGTGTTTGTTTGCAATCTGCCTGGGTTATGCATGCTGCGGTGCTCCTTCTCCTGCTTGAGGTGTTGGTGGCTGCTCCTGATGTGTTCCTGCTGTGCTCCGTGAGGCAAGTGCGACGACGCCCTGTGCCTGCCCTGTCCTTCCCTTTTTTTTCTTCCTTCTTTCCTTCCTCCTATTCTTCGCTGACTGTTGGCCTCCCTCCTTCCTGCTTACCTAACGTTCCGGAGTCTGCACAGACCACATCCTCCTTCACCTGACAGGCCCCACCGCTCGCGTGCCCTTCAGCCTCAGGCATGCACACGTTCTCCAAGCTGCCCCCCCAGGCATCAACTGCCCAAATGGTCCTCGTGCGTCTGGTTCCGGCGTCTCTCTCACATTTTCCCCCAGGGCCTCCCTGCCCCCCGCTGCCAACATGATTCTCCAAACCCGAGAGATCACACCACTTTCCGGGCTCTTACGGATAATTTTCGACAGGGATCCCCACGGAAAGCCCCTCACCGACAGCTTGGGATGCGCCGCAATCGACCTTTCGCCTTGACGACCACGACGACGACACGCCCTCAAACACGATACACTTTCCCACTCTTCGTCTGCCCTCGGATGCGACCCCTTCTAAGCTTGCTGCGACAGTGCCGAAGCGAGTCCGTCCGACCCTTCTGACTTCAAAGTTGCAAGCCCATGTGTCGTCTTTGAAACTTGGGACCAGCTGATTCTAGACAGAAGCTTGTTTCTTCGTCTTCCGTCTCTTTGGTCTAGCCTCCAACGCTTGCCTAGGATGACTCTGTTAGTCGCAAAGGATCAAATCGAGGCCGGTTTCGCTGCCATGTTGACCGTTCGGCCAATTGGCTGTGCAGATTCAGATCTATCGGTTTCCCAGCCCCAGCAGAAATCGGCCGGGGAAACTGTCTTCAACGAGTCAAAGTCCACATGGCCGAGGCACAATCACCTGCATCCGGGGATGTGTTGGGGTCCACGGACATTTCCTTATCAGATTACTGCTCTGTCTCCCGTACTATTGGTACACCGGTATCTGGTCTAGACTCAGCTGGCCCTCCGCATCCTCGGAGCGTCCTCCGGCATTGAGCCGGCGTTGAATCCCCACGCTCACCGAACCCCCGAGATATCCTGTCAGACCTGTCAACGGCTATCATTCCACCCGATTCTGTGCAGCCAAGAGACTCGGCTCAATACAGGTTCTCAGTCTCTAAGTTGGGGCAACTTCGAGATGTCTCGCACCCATCACTCGCCTGCTGAATGACGTCTCGAGTTGATCGGTCCTTTTGACCAGACGTTAGTCCTCCAACGGCTCATAATTATCATCGCATCCTGAGTTCGTTCTGGTCTCATTATTATTGGAAAGTTCCCCAACCTTCAACATCCTGATCCGTTTACGCAGGACGACCGGATTCAATCGCCCGACCTCCAAATCGTCATCGGTTTCCTCCGCCGGACTGCCGTTAGTGTCTTCCGAATCTCCCCTGGCGCGTTCAGTCTCCGACAAGCTGTGGGAGGCTTTGCGCTTCCTCGGCCTCAATCCCTTGCCTGCCCGCTCCTTGCAGAGCCTGCCCATAAGGCCCGGCACGCTTCCTTTGGCAAGGGCTCTCATCACCTCCAGCGCCTCGTCTTCCGTCTTTCCATCCGCCAGCATCTGCTTCATCTTGTCCCAGAATGGCTTGCGCCGAGTGAACCATGACCGGCCATATGTGTCGTTGCGCCACTTGGCTCGATACTTTACTTCCAACTGCTCGACGGGCGCCTGACCATGAAGACCATGCCGGTACTCCGCCCAAAGCTCCTCTACCGTATCAGGTGTCGGTTTGAACTTGAACAAGGGCTTCTGGTTGCCGCATTCGTCTGTGATGGTCAAGGGACTGCAATACTTTGGGTTGTCGTACGGGTTGTGAGGCTCCGTTACGTCTTGCTGTCTCGAGTCTGCGCTTTTACCAATCTTCCTCGCGGCCTGGTTCAGTCGACGAAGTGAAGAAGGAACCTCAGCCCGAGGCGCCTTTTTGCCAGTGCTTCTCGTCCTCTGTGGCTGTGTGGGTACTGCTGTCGCTATCGGCTCCGGCCCTTCATCAATGCTCGCCTCGCTTTCGGTCACCGTCACTTCCGCTCGGGCCGGGCCCTGACCCCATCCCGGAGCAGTGGGGGCCGTCGCCGGCGGCGTCGCAATCGGAGGTGCCGGAATCCTCGCCTCGTTCGTCGCATCCGCTGCTGAAAGAATCCCTTCTCGACCCAGCATCTCTCCGATGCGCATGCCGGTCACTTTCTGTGCATCCCAATCAGTCAGCATCAAACTCTCGCCTTCGTCATACCCAAACCTAACGCACCGGGATGACATCCACCAACAACCTGCGCTGAAGCTCCCACTTCCCTTCAAACCCAACCTGCCACTTGCGTATCTCCTCGCGCCATTCCTCTTGTCTTCTTTGGATCTCCTCGTACTCGCGAATGTACTTTTTCTGCAGCTCGATCACGATCTTGGCGAGCTCGTTCTCGGTCTCGGGTGGCGGTGCGTCTCCCTGCGCGTGCGGTGGCGGTGCAATGCCCTCGTTGTTGTGAATGTCGTCGTCGCCCTCGCTGTCGGAGTAATCCACGAGCCGCACTCGTCCCGCGGTTATCATGTTGTGCCTGGCGCAGTTGTGAGAAGTTGGTTATCTGAGTAACGATTTGACCAGCTGCGGCCGATGGTAAACTCGCGCCTGATGCTAATGGCTGGATGATATCTTAGATGTCCCACGTCTTCCACAGACGACGTGAAATTTGTGGAACTTTCAGCGAAGTCCTAAGAACCGCCCTGTCTCGACTAGGCGTCTTATTATATTGCATGTCTTAACTGGCGTAAGGACCAACAACTCGAGACATTGACTAATGTCGCTTCTCCAAACATCTTTGTTGAAATTGTATCCAAACCGTTTTTGATTTTGTTTGTGTCTACAATCGTCCATTGTTCGCCCATCCCCAATGTTCCTGACATGGTAGTCGAGATTGGTCTATGCGTCAGGAGTGAAAGGGCGATATGCAACGGGAGATGCCCCTTGGCGTGTTTGCTATGTAGGTCCTGAGATCTTCGGCATATCTACCCGCTAGGAGTGTCGCATTTGGTTCGTTAGCTGGTCCCTATTGTCATGCAGTCACGGGATGTGTGCTGGGTAGTTGGTGGTTTATGATCACCGACTACAGGTCGATCAAACATCCAGC